GGCTCTGCAGGCTTCTGCTCCCCATGTTTCTGTAGCTTCACACTTGCAGGATGAAGCTTATGCTTCTTGGCATAGACCCAGCTGAGCTGAACAGATGTATGCTTCTGCTCCCTTCCTAGACCTGAGTCACACCAGACCTGGTCATAGAAGGGCACATAAAGGTCATAGGTCATACAAATCAATCCTAGGCTTTTCTCCCTCTATCACTTTCTTCTTTCTCCTTAATTCTTTCCATCCTTTCAGCCACTCATTTGTCACTTTCCCTACTTAAGAGAGCTTAATCCATACTCCTTTTGGTCTAAGAGAATCCTGGCCCTACCTTCCTACCTCATGACCAGTTTAATGGACAGGCCTTGTAATGTTTGGTCACTTGTGTGTCTCCCTGACAAAGGGCTCCCCTGTGAGTGCCTCTACGTAGAGAGTAACTTATTTATGACCTGAGAGTATAAGTAGGTGCTCAATAAATGTTGAATGAATAAGCTACCTAGTCTCTTCTGTTTTGGCTGTGGACCTACACACTTGTGAGTCAGGTGGCTTTCACAACACAACCATGGCCAGCACAACAAAGAATTCAACTTTGCCCTTAAGAACAATGACCTTTAGACACTGGAGCTAATGGGCTGCAGATTCAGGTATTTGAAGACCACATTTTCCTTGACAATGTTTCTGGGTGCTCTGCATCTGGAGATGGTTGGGAAGTTCAAATAAATGATTAGAACATGTAAAAAAGACCCATTAAATAATCTGGATCATTTCCTTGCCGAAGAGAAACTCGAAGAGACTTAATAATGGTTGTTAATGAAAAGAGAGAGTGTGCTCCAAGGATGGCTAAGTCTCTCCATGAAGACAAAAGAGAAGGCCAAGACTGAAGTACATGCAAGGCACAAATTAAAAATAAAATAAAATAAAATAAATCAAAACAACAACAAAACACCAGACACTGGAGAGATGGCTCAGTGGTTAAGAGCACTAGCTGCTTTTGCAAAGGACCCAGGTTCAATTCCCAGCACTGACATGGCAGCTCACATCTGTCTGTAACTCCTATTTGAAGGGCTTGTGACACTCTTACACAGACATACATGTGAGCAAAACACCAATGAACATAAAATAAAAATAAATTATATATGTACATATATATTATAAACCCTCGTTGGTTTCCTATTGGGTTGTGTAGCCCATTTCCACTTACTATTATAAATTACTCACATAGGGCCAGCAATATGGCCCAGTGGATAAAGCTACTTGCCACCAAGCCTGATGACCTGAATTTGATCCCTGGGACCCACATGGTGGAAGGAGAGACCCAACTCTCACAAGCTGTCCTCTGTTTATATACATACACACAAATAATATATTTTACATATAACAAAAATCAGTAAATAGGTCCAGTGAGATAGCTCAGAGAGTAAAAGCACCTTCTGCCAAACCTGATGCCCTGAGTTCAATCCTCGAGACCCACAGTAGGAGAGGACGGATTCTTGTAATCTGTCCTTTGACCACCACATGTGCCCCATGACACACATACATAAAAACAGATGACTAAATAAAAAACCTTCCCTGCACTGGGGGTGCAAATCGGCTACTGGTGCTGAACACTTCTATTACATCATCTGATTTGTCAGAGGACCCAAACAAGCGCTTCTTATTTTGTTATTTCCATTTCATAAGTGAATCAATAGAAGCCCAGGATGATGAAGTAACTCACCCAGGTCGCACAGGTGACAAGTCATAATGGAGGAATTGCAACTGGTGTTCTTTGTTTTTCCTTACTGCCTTGCTAGAAGCTGGAATAGATGTCAGGCTTTCACTGATGGGAACCCGAGGCTCCAGAAATCTCAGTAAGTCCATGTGGCTATTTTAAGTCCACCTTCCCTCTCTCTTTTTTTCCTTGTTCTTATTTAGATTTAGGATCTCACCATGTAGCCCAGGCTGGCCTCAAACCTGCAGTGAAGCTCAGGTTAGCCTAGGACTCAAGATACTGCTGCCTCAGCCTCTTGAATGCTGGGATTGTGAGCATGTACCACAACAGCTGACTTAGCTTAAATTTAAACAAGGAAATTCTTGGTTATACCAAGAGTCTGTCATTGCTAGAGTAACTACCTCTTTTTCCGGTATTCATTGTACTAGTGTGTGTGTGTGTGTGTGTGTGTGTGTGTGTGTGTGTGTGTGTGTGTAGAAAAATAAAAACATCCATTTTACTGTATCTTTTTTGTTGAGTCTCAATAGGTTGACCTCAAACTCCTGGGCTCAAGTGGTCCTCCTGCCTCAGTGCCTCAGCCTACTGAATAGCCAAACCTGCAGAAGCATGTGCCTACTCTCTTCACTGGGCTCTATGGCACCTGATCCTTTCCCAATTCTTTGTCCTGGAGAGTTGGCTTACCAATTCTCACTTTTCTAATAAGACAGAAGTTGTTTTTTTTTGTTTTGCTTTGGGCTGTCAGGGCCTATATGTTTCAGTATCTACATGTGTCCATGTGTTTATAAGACCTGACATCAATCGAGTCCTATTTAGTTATTCTTACTTTACCCCCAGGGAGATAGCACTTGCTGAAGGGGCCAAAGAGCTGGCATCTTCTTCCCTGTTACTTATTTTTTTATGCAAGGCAACCTTGTTTATTGTGCCTCCAGGATATTCACAGTGGGGTCACAGTCAGTCAAGAACAGGGTCAACTTTTCATGTAACTCAAAGGCAACTCCAAAGTCTATGCCCAGAAAGTCAGCATTCATCAGCCGGCATGATGGAGCACTGAGCTACACGGAGCTGCAGGGGCCTGGGGCCAATTCAGGAGAACTGCAGCAGCCCACAGGAGCCCCTCAAGAAGGGTGTGAATGAGTCACCAGAGTTCTCAGGTTGACTGAGATAACTTCTGTAGTTTTTTTTTTTTTTTTTTTTTTTGAATCAAGTCACACCATCAGCACTTGCATATTGGGCATAACGGGAAGAAGAAGGGTGATTACTTTCTTGACAGTGTCTGGACCTCAGCAGGGTGGTGATAAGATGGAGGGTTAGATGTGACTTTGCAAGAATAGTACAGGCAGTCCCTTGTGTGTGCTAGGGTGCAGTGGCAAATTGGTCTTCTTGGGAGGAAACACAGTATTCCTGGATCAAGTGTCCTTTGATATAGCCTCATTGGTACATTAGAAGGCTAGGTAATTTGTCACCCTTTGACTTCATATTCTGGGGAAAGCACTTGCTTTTTTAACATCGAGTTCCCAGGAAAATCAGATGAATTACTGACACCCTGTTTAAAGCCTTGAGTTTTAGGAGTTCACATAATTTCTCTGGCCTCATTTTTTTTCCCGTGTGTCTATGTGTTTCTCTCTGTTTGTCTCTGTTTGTCTCTGTTTGTCTCTGTCTCTCTCTCTCTTTCTCTCTCTCTCTCTCTCTCTCTCTCTCTCTCTCTCTCTCTCGATTCTCATTATATAGCCTATGTTGGCCTCAATTCACAGAGATCTGCCTACCTCTGCCTCCTGTGTGCACTGCCCTGCTTGGTTGTATTCTTCTCTTTAAAATGGATGTAATAAAGGCTCTATTCTGTAGGGCAAGATTAAGGAGATCAATGCATGGGAAGGGCCTGGATGGTCTCTGGTAGATAGAATTAAACTTTGTATTTATGTTAATGTACATATTGTGAAGGGAAGGCAGTTGACAAGAGCCTGGAAAAAAAAAAAAAAAAAAAGAGCTGTTCCTCCAGTAGGGTGTTGTCATAATCATGGTCCTCAGGAAATTCAGAACCTGACTCTACAAAACTAGTGATCCAAGTCCACAAACAGAACTTAACTTTAATCAGGCAAGCCTGTCCTTATTTGCATATATCGGATTTGCATGGTAGAGTTATGTAACAAAAAATTATGAGCAGAGCTCATCTAACCTTCTAGAACTGTCGCCAGCCAATGTGGACTGTTTTCTTTCACTTGGCACAGATTGCATGTCAGGAAACAATGTGAAGGAGAACCTGACTGACTCAAAGGACTTTTTTCCCCACATGGAGATCTCATGGAAATCCCTGTATTTCACACAATATGTTTCAGATAACCTGCCCCTTCTAGAGTACACAACAGATTTCTTTATTTACTACTTACTGATTCTTTCCGAGTTGCTAGGAGGAGCATCCCCAAACCTATTAAAAACGGATGCTTGGCACTTAAGTCTACATTAGCCCTGCAGGAAATTCAGGAAGAGCATCTCTGTCCAGTGTGGGGAGGGGAGACTAAGGTTATATGTGACAGCAACAACAACAGCAATGTCACTGGAGAGTTAGGTTGGTGAGTGCCACACAGACCCAGGTAGTAGGGGCAATAACTCTTAAATAGAATAAAGAGATGAGTCTAATGTAATCAAAAACTTTAAAACTACATAATGTATGCTATTAGTGACTCAGTGCTGAATAAATATAAAAAGATAAGAGCCAAATCCCTGACCTGTAATCACCTTCTAGCAGTGGCCATTCTTATAATGGTGGCTCCAACCAATAATGAACCATTTAGTATAAAGATATACAAGGAAAATGAAAAGAGTGCACCTTAGGCTCTGGGACAGTATGTCAAAAGTACCTTTGCATAAGGTCGAATACTAGCAAATGGTCACTTGGAGGGGGGTTAATATTAGTCAGATTTTATCAATTTCACACAACTCAACCCAATGCATTGAAGTTAATTGACACTAAATCAAGACACTTATATGACCTTGTCTTTTACTGCCTTTTAACTATGACCAGGAAATGAAATTGGCCAATTTTATGTCTTAGCCTTTTTGACCTTCTAGAATTTTTCCACGATAGATGCTAAATAAGTGTTTTGTTAATTGAGCGGTATTTTCTGTTATCTCCTCTCAAAAGCTAGGTCTGAATTTTGCTGTGCTACTTAAATTCTGAGGCTGTTCCTAAACTATAATTAATAAAGTGTTGGCTTCATTTCAGTTTTCATGATTTAGATAAATCTTTCCTGTTCCTTGTTTGGGCAGCTCCGGAAACTAATTAATATATTATTAATATATTTTACAGGCAAACAAGACTCTGCTTGCTCACACAGCCATGACAAGAATAAATTCAGGTCAGAAATATTTTTGCAATTATGGGAAAATGGTATTATAATAATGAAAAATTATTGTTTATAAAACACACTCTGCACATTAAAACACATTATAGACTAACAAACAATGTGAATGGCAACCAGGCAAGCTCTTTCCCAGAGGTGCCAATTACTCAGAGCTCAGTTGGAACATCAATGTGCCTGGCAATGAACTAAAAAAGGTAACTTTTGGGCATCCCAGAAGAACTTCATTATTATTCATAAAAGGTTTCGTAAGAGTTGTGGTAGATTCCAAACTTAGCAGGAAATTCTGAGATAACTGAGGTGGTAGCATGAATTCATTTTCCACTCACAAAATAAAATGCTCCTGGGCCTGGGGAATGTAACTGAGTTGGTAAAGTGCTTGCCTGGCAGGCATGAATCTTGGGTTTGATCTTTAATATAATATAAACTGTGTGTGGTGGTGCATACCTATAGCCTTAGCCTTTGGGAGGCAGGATAGTCAGAAGTTCAAAGTTATCTTCAGCTGTATGGTGAGTTCCAAGCTAGCCTGGGGTGCATGAACCTAGTCTCAAAAAGTTGGGGTCGGCCGGGTGGTGGTGGTGCACACCTTTAATCTCAGCACT